AAGGCATCTATCTGCAGGAATTATGGTTTATCTTTTTATGTTTTTCGTTAACGTGTAATTAAAGAATAAATGGGGATACATTGTATTGAGGTATGTAATATTAGAGAAGTGAAAATATTTTTCCAAGAGCAGGTTGTAGTCCTCCTACTGCTAACATCAGAAAAAAAAACAGTTGAAGTTTGTAGAACACGTTATAAGAAAAGACGAAATCAAAAGTATGATCATAGCTAGAAAATTTGAAGAAAGAAGAGACCGTGGAAGACAGGGTTTGACTTATGTCAATATTATATATAAATGGATGAATTTTATAACGACATTAGAAATTATTTGTGGCTCAAGGAGAAGAGACCTGGGGAAGATCGTGGTCATTAAAGTTCTGTTTGGATATGGTACAGAGAGAGAGAAAGAGAGAGAAAAAAAATGTTATGGAATGAACAGCAGTAGCGGTATTATCGTCAAAATACAACTTCTAATCTTATAGTTCAGTAGTTCTACACACAGTCTTAGTTGCATTGGAGGGTTTTACTGACAGACTGTATTCCACTAGTATCTTATCGTCGCAGAAAAGTTTCAGCGAATCTATATCAGACAAACAACTCGCACCTGGAGCATAAGGCCAGAATTTCAGTGGACTTCGTAACACAATGAATGATAAGATTCCTGATGAAGACAGGTTTGCTTTACTGTTATATATAAATTCCTTAGTCTTATCTTGCTTGTAAATTTATCAGTTATATAATTTTTCACATACAGAGACCCATTATATATATATAAATGTATCTTCATTTTTATGTTACAATATTCTTTGTTACCCTTTAAGAGTGAAATGAAGCTTCATCTTATACTCATCTACCTTGGACTTCTGTATGCTGCCGAAACACTCGCTGCTAATAGGGGTGTCCAGAAGGCTGACTCGATATTTCTTTTACTAGAAAGATTGGATTGTATATTTGATGGTAAGCCTGTTGTCGTAATCTTGCATTTAACTCGGCCTGGCATGGCCCGGTGGTTAGGGTACTAGACCCGCAATCTGCGGGTCACAGATTCGAATCCCGTCATCAAACATGCTATGGGAGCGTTATATTGTTACGATAAGTTCCATCATTCGTTGGTAAAATAGTAACCTAAGAGTTGGCGATGGGTGGTGTTTGTTAGCTGCCTTCCCTCTAGTTTAGCACTTCAAAATTAGGGACGACTAGTGCAAATAGTCCTGGAGTAGCTTTGCGCAAAACTTCACAAACAAGCGTTTAACGCTAAAATATTACTGTTAAATAATAAATAATTTTAAAAGATTCAAAACTTTCATGTCGTAAGTTACGTAATGAATCACAATTATTTTATCCATTAGCTTTTTCGGAAAAAAAACAACAACCTTTAATTCATTATTATTATCATTATTTATTTATATTTATTTTTGATAATGCAATAACGTAGAATGGTAAATAACCTGTGTCGTATCGTCGTTTTAAAATTTTTTAAATAATATCAACATATAACAAAATTCGGCTTCTGATAAGAGAAAAGTAAACTCTGGATGAGGTTTTTATGTCATTAATACATTTTCCACACGTTTTTAACATTACTAGGCTATCTTTAACGACATACCAGAACCCAGCCTGATATCCTCGTATCAGTTGCTGCATTCGACATAGTAAAGTTTGAAAATCTCTCATCAAACCAGTTAAAACTATGGTTGTTCAGCGAAACAAGAACATAGTTATATAGCTTTTGTAAGGTATATTTGTTTAGCCATTTTGAGTAAGGTAGATAACGTTTGTATGTTGAATTTCGAGCAAAGATGCTCGAGACATCCCTAATTTTAAAGCGGTAAACTAAAGGAAAGGGTGCTGCTTAACACTAACTCTTGAGTTACTCTTTGTCAATTAATAGTGAGACTAGCCGTTACGTTATAACGCCCCCAGGCTAAAAGGGCGAACACGTTTGACGACAGGTTTCGATCCTGCGACCTGCAGATTGCCCCTAATCACTTGGCCCGTAGGTAACATTCTTTATTAGTAACGTTTAATACTGTTATTTTTTTTAATTTTGTATTATAACAGTTTAAAAATATGGCGTGTTTTTACATAGTAAAAAATACTGATTAGTTTTTGCGATTAATTGCTACAACTTGGAATTTACAGCCATAGTCACATTACGTTATTGTTTCCTGTAGTCTATGAATGACGAGGCGTAGTTATATGATGTCATTCTTTCTTGTAGACTATGAATGAAGAGGTGTGGTTACATGATGGCATTGTTTCTTATGGTCTATGAATGAAGAGGTGTGGTTACATGATGGCATTGTTTCTTATGGTCTATGAATGAAGAGGTGTGGTTACATGATGGCATTGTTTCTTAATCATGTAACCACACCTCTTCATTCATAGACCACTCATTGTTTTTTGTAGTCTATGAATGAAGAGGTGTGGTTACATGATGTCATTGTTTCTTGTAGTCTATGATTGATGAGGCGTGGTCACATTATGTCATTGTTTCTTGTAGTCTATGCTTGATGAGGCGTGATCACATGATGTCATTGTTTCATATAATTTATATATCAAGAGGCGTGGCCTTAGAGCATTGATAACTGCTCATTGATGATTACAATACACAACGAAAACTTGTTCCATCTTATATCTATTCACAAAAAAAGAGACAGAGAGAGGATCCCGTGAGAGATCTTGTTCCTGTTGAAGCTGGAACTAAATATATGATAATAATAATAGGAACTGCCAAATGAGTTCCAAATTTAAGAAGGAGTGGCATTGTGTTGTATCATATTATACTGTTATTAGATACAGTTTCTTGTAATAGGAAAATATCTAATCATTAATTTAAATGATTTTAATTCAAATATCATTAATTGATATAATCATGATGCTAGAAAAAACACATAGGTTCAAGAAGTCTTGATAGAAATGAATAAAAACCCTATAACCCGAGCGCTTTCGAAAGGTGGACCTTTCTTCTTCAGGGGCAAATTCATATAATATATGAATGATGTAAAGAGTAATTGAACAGCTAAGCCTAGAATAATTTTCTCATAGTTCTTGTATGGAAGTATAAGAGAAATGTCAAGGAAGAATTTGGGGTACAAAAAAAAAGTCAAAGTGTCAATCCATAAAAGGAATTATTGAATGTATTACTAGATAATAAGTGTGAAAATTAGAAAGAGTTGTTCAAGTAATGAACATGTTTTGGTACCGGATATAGTCTCAATTTTAGTATGTTTTTTTTATTTAAAGGTTAGCAGAAAAAAAGAATCAGTGTAGATATAATTATGA